GTTTTTAGAACATACCATAAAATGTGGACATTGAAAATTTGCAGGAAGTTTTGAAAACTTGTTTTGAAAATTTTGCACCAGTGTACTTTTTGAGTTGGAATATGGGTAGCAATTACATGTACATGTACATGTACGTACAACAGACACACTGGTACAATATTCTTCTCCCTTGTCTGATTTTTTCTTATTTTACTGGTGGACTCGTGTGGAAGTGAGGGACAGCTCCACAGGGGAGGAGGAACTGAGGAGAGAAGAGATCTTTAACCCTCTTTGTTCCCTCCAAAAAGTCCCATTACTGCAACCTCCTTTGTACTGGTACAGTACGTGTACATGTACATTACACTTTAAATGACACCACTTTCTTTAGTCATTTGTCTTGCATCTCGACCATGATGCATGTCTCTGGGGTCTAGGTGTACAGAGATGCATCACTGCAAGGGGTCTTAGAGGACACCAGAAACTCGATCCAAGGAGCAGACCGGCCGCTGGGGAGCGACTGAAATGAGTCTGTCAGATCAGTGTCTGCTTGCGCTGCTGCATGGCAGGACCGAGAGGGAAGAGAAAAGATACCAGTAGATGTCTACCCCAAATCTGTTTGTTTCATCACTCGGGGGGAAATTACTTATTATCTGGCTGGGATTTTTTTTTTCTCTTTTCTTTTTCTGGGGGGGGTGGTGAAGCTGAGATGGCACAGGCTCGGTTGAGTGATCATTCGTGCTGACAATCTCTTGGAAAATGTTACTTTGTACGAGGCCTCAATACATCTCTGTCATCCGATTGGTGGATCGTTGATCACACGTCAGTGAAATATTTGTCCTGATGCACAGAGGTGCCGCTCTTCGAGAAACAGAAGTTCCATTCTGCCACACATGTACACTGTAGCGCTTTATTGTGCGTCAAGATAAATTTCTGAACTTGTAGTTGATGTATGAATTTATTCAGCCAGGGATTCGGGGTTTGTACTGTATAACCGGCTTTATTAATGCAGACATTCAAGAAACAGATACATGTACTAAGTTTCCACATGTGCAATGGAACCTTTTTTGACGACACAGATGGAATGTTCCATTGCACAAGGCTAACACCTTTTATCATTCAGTACATGGGCAGCTAATGTACCTAAAAACGAATTGGTTCATTTATATATTTTTTTCTATTTACTGGAATACATGTATGCAGTGTTTACTTCAAATAACTAGCTTGAATATCTGACAAAAATTGTACTACACTGTATACCAAAGTACAGGGAACAGTAGCAGGTACAAACAGTGCATGTACATGTACACAGTACACAGTGTACAGGTAGATGTACATGTAGCAGGTACATGGACCAGTAGCAGGTGCATACAATACATGAACATGTATATGCATGTACAGTGTCAACCGGTATTGAATAGCCTGTGAAAGTGAAGCTATGTCCAATTTGTACACTACACATGTACCAACACATATTTTTGTAAAGTTTTAACCAGATATTTAAATGCCAGAGAATGTGTCAACGTGACACAGTCATTTACCTGCAATACATACAGCACAAGATGAATATGTACATGCACATGTATACTGTTGACTGTAACATGTCTCCCTGATCTTGATGCAGAACAAGATATATATATGAATGTACATGTATGTACTCGATGAGGAACACTTTCAAGACGAATGTACATGTACATGTATTTTGCGTCAGGGAGACGTTAATTTTATTAATGGGTTTTTGCCCTCACAAACTGATCTCATTTCCACTTCCAAAAACAATCCCACATGATTTCCACCCCCCCCTTGCCAAACATATCAACATGGTTTGCCTTCCACAATCACAGGTCATTTACAGTAACTAGCATGCTGCAAGCATTCAAGGAAGCACGCTTTCAAGGAAGTAAGCTGTGCAATGAAGCCCATTCAAGCAGGCTTCCTTCAATTTATAACGGCCTCCACGTTTTTCAGTCCTGAGCGCTGACATTAATATCGCCAGGGCAAATATGATCAGCATCGCTGGCCACTGCCAGAAGCCAGCAGGCCTCATATCCCTCCTGACTGAGTAGCCATTGACACCTAGTCACGCTGACGAGGTGCATTAACTCTCCAGCTTTGATTACACATTACTCCCTCCCCCCCCAAAAAAAACCTCTTGAACAGGGTCGCTACGTGTCATGGGTGAATTTTTATGCACTGTTCATTATGATGTTATTTGCAACTGGGGCGGAACTTGGCCTTTAATGAATATTTCCACGCTCATTTAAGGCTACAAGAGTACAGTACAAAGGACAGGTACATGCTGCATGTGACTTGTGTACAAGTTGGCCCTAATGGTACATGAAGACCCAAACAAATAATGACTGGTTTTGTTTGGTTTTTTTCGATTTGGATGAATTGACACTGAGTACACATATGGTGTATGCACAATGTGTACGTGTACTGCACATGAACTCTTATTATATGCACCTGTACTTTGCCAATTGATTGTTGAAAAAATCCATCAATCATTCAACACGCTGTGGATGTACATAAACACATTAAGTGCTTGTGTAATTTACAGACATGTGCATGTATACACGGACTTCAAACACTATATGAAATACAGTACATGTACATGCGGCCACAGCGCATGTATGTGTGAACACACGCACGTATAGCACACTTGCACCTGTACAGACATGTACATGTACATGGTCCAATGAAGACATGACATGAAGACAAAATACATGTACAAGTATTCCACCTACTGTACCGTGTTGCCATTTCTTTCTAAATACAGGGTACAAGCAACTGCACCCCACCCGGCCATCAACAGATGAAAGTGTTTGCAAGCGTTAGAAGGAACATGTCTACATGAGACCACCTATTCTTAGGTACAGGACGTGTACGTGCAGTGTCGTTGCTGGAACAACAAGTACTGCATGTACACTCAAAGGTGAAAGGTTCAAATCCTTGATGAATTTTCCCTAGTTCACAAAACTTACAGTATGTATAAAACTAATGCTTTATTTCTCGAAACTTGGCAAAACCATCTGAAACCCTTCTGGAAATTTTTCACACACCCCAAACATCCGACCCGCAATTCCCCTCCAGCACCTAAATTACCCAGACAAGTCTCAGCTCTGCTTCTACCAAGTACAGTGTATGTGTTTTACCAGCTAGGCAATGATACAGACTCCAGTTGACCATGCTCATTTACTTAAACCCGACTGAGCATACACGCCCAAGCTGGTAATCTAATTCATTACAATTCTGCAATTCCGGTAGTCCCATCCATTAACCTGTTACGACCAAATCGAATCACAACGCCTCGACCGTCGTCGGTTCATTGAGATTCTTCCTCCCGTCTGTTCACAGGAAGGGGCTGTTATTTCTTCGTTAGCGATAGCCAGCGGACAACCGGTTACATCAACAAGTTTTTTTTTTCCCTTCTTCCCCGGTAGACTGTGGCCAAGTACAGAAATGGCTTGTAAGGAAGATGTTATTCTAGCATGGTGCCGATGGTTAAAACAAGGATAGTTTGACAGTGGAATAACTAACAGTGACAATCATTTCCCTCTGACGACTAGGCAGATGTATACCTGTACACGTGTACAGTGAACGGTCAAATCCTAACTTTCTATTAATTGGTGGATCAACTGAAATCAGCAGCTGCTGCTTAAATTATGCAGGCCCTCAAGTTTTTTATTGATTTGATTGAGTAACAGTTTCCCATTAGCATTTGGATCAATCAAACGGCCAGGTTTTTTGTCCACTCACTAAATAAATAAAGCTCTAATCAACAACTACATGTACATGTACATGTACAAAGGAGCAAGAACTCCCTGGAGCATGGGGGGGGGCTGGTGCATTTTTACAATCCTTGTTGTCCACTTGTATGTAACTTTCAACTCCAACCTTTCTGTGTCAGTTTCATATTTCTTGCTTAAATTTTAAGCATTTTAAGCAATTTTAATTTTATGTTGGATGTTTTAATTTATGAAGTCTTCAACTTTTATCTCTTTCACCCATCTTAAACGGAAGTCTTCAGATGTATACATGTACATGTATAAAAATGTTTAGGATTCACCCAAGAAAAGTGTAACTAAATAATTGATGTATATTGACACAAAATTTAACTTTATTTAATTTTTGTGAGTTCTTGTGTTCCATAAATTTTGTTTAACAAATGTTGATGTACACGTACAAATTGCACTCCATACTTCTTGACCTGCTTTTTAACTTTGGGCTGAACTATTGTAGCTTCCGTTCCAACCAATCAGTCCAGAGTATTACCACATTTGGGTATAATGACCTTTCCCTATTGATACAGCAATATTTGTCCAAATTCCACTTTCAATATCTCAAGTTGGCAAAGATGAATTTTAAATCCCATCGGTACAAACGTGTTTTACAACTTCTAGTTTATGTCCGTAGTCAAGTTTTTAAAATACAACAATCAACTACTAAAACAACGAAGTAATACCTGTTGGCTTACTTTATCTATTCTACAGGGGTCATTTTTATGATTACCACAGATGAGGTGTGGGAGCATTGTTGGAGGGAAGAGGGAGACTCTGTATACTACTTCTATGATAGAAGAATTTGAATGCATCATTATAAACCCTAACCCTCCTCAAGCCTCCAAAATTTTTCAGGCAATTTTGGAAGATTTTGAATGATTGAGGTAGATGGCAAAAGCGCATGGCAGATTGTGAAGGATGCCATGCTTGAAGGTCGTGTGTTAGACCTTGAGTTGTTTATGCTTAGTTGTGCATAAATTCAGCCCAACGTTTCTTTTGAATCAACCGCACTGCTCAAGAATGCCATTTGCACTGCCTCAACCTAACGACAGGAACTGCCGGAGGATTTTGAAGGATTGAGACACTAGGCACACCTCCGAGTAACATTTCCAAGAAATTTTGGAGGATCTCAGACGACTGAGGGAGAATCCAAATTTTTCACCCCCAAATCGGAGGACTGAGGAAGGTCCCTAGCAAAAAGGTTAGGGTTAAGGATACCATTTGGAGTAGCTTTATACTTACTAGTAATGGTAATATAACTGCCCAATTTTGGACGCAATCTCTCCAATCTGCCAGCGCTTCAGGCCATAATGTGTGTCCAAGACTTGCCTGCATTGGGAGCACAAACAAACACTTACATTGATCAATCACATTGTATTATTACAAAAATGATTAAGAAACCGGTCAGCTTTTTCTATGATCTCCCGACAACTTTGTAAGCAATTTGTTTTAATAACAAGTACTGTACACGAACAAGTAGCAATACATGTACATCATATTGCACGATGTGCTTTTAATACTAAAAATATTCAGTAACTTTGATATAAGGTAACAAGCTAGGGACACATGTGGGCTTTTTCCTGGTTGAACACCTTGTGCAAAGTTTGCAAACCTAGCCATCACGATGAACTAACATGACTAATGCCTGTCGACACTAAATGATGTGGCCTCATCAGGCATAATGCACATTGGCAGTGGCTTGTACCTGTACAGACCTCTACAACCACCAGTACCAGTCTGAGGAAAATGCACCACACTTCACTTGAAGTGTTTCTGACAGTGTGCCTTTTAAGGCCCAGTTCAGTGGTTTATTGGAACTGTGGATGTTCATACCCACCACCCCACCAGCGACAGGTGCAATTTCCTTTTAACAGGTGCAATTAAATGAAATGTTACATACATGTACATGTATGTATCTGCTTGCAGGTTTGTTATTTGACTATTTAAGTCCTTGGCAGTGAAAACTTTCAGTCCAGAGGGTTATCTGTGATAGAGGTATGTATACACATATAAGTACATGTAACATCACCTGCCTATTGCCTTGTCTCAAGAAAAGTTCATTTTAAAACCAAACGCTCGTATGAGTAGAAGTTGGTAATAAAGGTTGGAGACTATGGTACCGTAAGACCTAGGGGAACTTTCCCAGCTGGTGCTGAATCGACTTGATTAGGAAATCTGCCAGTGCAGTAGCGATCCATCTCCTCCACTTATTTGAGGAATTAAGATGTAAATTTATACTACATGTAGCCGGGGCAGCTTGGGGGGCAGTGTCCCCAATAAAGAAAATGCAGAAATACAGATGAGACAAACAAAGTGAGATGGAGGGCAGGGCGGAACAATCAGTCCAGGTTTTTATGAAATGGTTCACTACATGTACATGGAGAAAAAACAGAGAGGAACTATCCAACCTTTAACGTGCAATCGTTCTCGAGTTTCAAAAGGGGACAAGCAGCAGTTGGCAAAGTCATTTAGGGAAGAGCACAGTGAGATTTGTTTTGATCTGCGATAGTAGGGTGGGATCTGGAGCAGCCTGGCGCCTGCCAGCGTTTCAGGCGACTCAACGCCAGTGGTTGCCACCGACAGATAGATAGAGTTTCACCATCTTCATCATCGTCGTCGTCGTCCCCATCTTGGGGATGATGAGCACAATGCTGATCGTCACCATGATTCACATTTAGTTAAATACCGGTATATAGTATAAGGGAAAGGGGGGTTATGTTGACCACACTGACGTGACCATATTCCAAATTTCCTTTTAAGAAGTCTTCGTTCAATTGTCCCTTTGCCTTCCACAGATCTGTTCTCCCTCTGATGATGGCCCGAAGATGGAGTAAAGAGAGGGGGGGATTAGGCTGCAGTTTTAATCTTGGAAATTGGCCAGAGGGCAGACAGACTCGGAGGCTGATGAGGGAATATTGGATTGGTTTTGCCATAGTGTTAAAAGGGGAGAAAAGATTTGCTAGGCATTTAACGTCACAAAGTTTAATTCAGCGTGGCTTTGGCTTTTAAAGCAGTTCCTGGCCAAATTCTTGCTGGAAGCTGACGAACATGTACCACACAACAGGTCTCCCAGAGGGTAGAAATACAATTATTTTCCCTCGATGCAAATTTTTTTTCTCACCTTTTCCAACTGAAAACGAGAGAATTCCAAATTTACTATTTACAAAGGACGAGGACTGATGGACTCTGGACAGCAAATCGTCTAATAAATTCATTTAAGAATTAAAGAAGACAAAGATTATTTCAACACACTAATAATAATGTACATGTACAGTACATGTTCGTACATTGTACCGGGGTACTTCTTTACAAATAAAAGTACACACATGTATAGGGTAGCAAAAGGGTTCTGTCACCCATATTAAAACAAAATTAACAAAGCAAATTGCACAAATTATACCTACATGTATGCAAGGACCAAATATAAATAATGTTTGCTGAAATACACCTCCTGCCAAACACCAGTTCCAGCATTCATTAGCATTTGAATGGACTACAGGCAACGCGTCTTGCTGCTCACTGCTACTAATGAACTTGAGCTACTGGTAACCGCAAGGGCAGTGCATCGTGAGGAAAACAACGTGCATCAGTACTCAGCAAAATCATGGGCAGAGCGGGAACGGATGGGTGAGAGTGGGGGGGGGGTGTGAATTGATCCGACGGTTTGGGTGCGATTTCACTCGAGGAGAAGCATATGGTGTACACAAACACGCATGTCAATACAATGTGCAGGTTCAGTGGAATATGTGTCATGCTAACCGAGGTACCGGTACACTGTGGCAGTGTATCCACTAATGCAACACCATTCGTGTTATGCCTAATGTACAATGTACATGTATGTATTCCCTGTATAAGCGTATGCATACATGTACATGTATCAAATTACACTTTTTTCTTCAGATTAGCGAAACAATGGGCAGGCAGGATGTTCACTCTATCTTCACTTGGAAATAGGAGTAAGTTTCTTGTTTTGGCAAATTGTGTGAGGTAAACTGCACATGTACACCTAAATGTACAGTACATGTACCAGTGCATGTACATGCTTGCATAATGCAGTTGGGCAGCAAACGTACATGTACGCTTTCGTTCATTGTACATAAATAAGTCTGTGAACTTTGCTGCACCCCAATCAAACAACATGTACCAAAGACACTTTTTACAAATTTATTTCCAATTTAACAATTTCCCCCAATTTTTCCCACAAAACATTTTAAGGGTAGCACCATCAAAAAGCCCCCTCCCCCCAGATCATTTATGTACATCTCCGTGTACATGTACCGGCACATGTAGCTGTATGCCAGGTACATGTACATGTAACTTGTTACAGTACAATAAATTTCTTCTATCAACATCTGAATGTTGTGATACATGTGCATACTTACATGTACATGTATACCAGGCTCACACGTACATATGCGTGTTTACACAAAATGTAGCCCATTCACCCTTTGACAAGGTATGTTACCAGTACAAGAGTTCGCAAAACACAGAATTAAGGAATTTGGCACTAATAAATTAAAGTGATGTTCAATTCTTCTCGTTCAGTGCACTATGGACGAAGATCTATATCGGATAATCCAAGAAATTGTCAACAGGGGAGAGGCACTTTCCCTGGGGGGATAGTAATTGCAATCAAAATTGACTGCAGGCGGGACTTTGCCGGTCCACGCCTCAGTGGCACTAATCACTCCTGCATCAGCTTTTAAGCCAGGCAACAGAATATTTTTTTTTCTTTTTAAAGGCAACTAAAATCAAGCTTTTAACTTCATGCACAATGCCGTACAGGGTGCAGACTTCACTTTCAATTGTGCTGTCCACTCAATATCTTCACAAGCACAGAGAGCCAGATTTTTTTATTTCACCTCCAATCCTTGGAATCCTAGGGTCCTAGAGCATCACATGAAGGCGTAAATGTACGTGCACGGTGTACATTAAGTTATGGCATGTTCTTCATAAAATGGACCAAAATGCAACTCCGGATGTCATTTTTCAGAACTTTTAAAAGAGTGACTATGATCATGTACAATACAAATTAGCACCTTCAGATATATAAGAATGATTATTTGGGGATAATGAGACATAATGTGGACATTTGGTCGGCTACCAGTGCAAATCAAATGAAGTTGAATTCATTTAAAGTTTTACGTCAAACTGTTGCACCAGAGGAGAATTCAGTATATTTTTCAACTGATGTATATGTATTTTGAAACACCTAAGAAATAATTTAAAAAAGATACAAGCCATGAAAAAAAGAGCAAAAATTGACGGAAAATGATGAGGAAAGTTTGACTCTCTTCAATCTCTTACCGTTCATAATCACTCTCACTATACCAGCATATCTGCCAGGTCTTATACCTTTCAACCATTGAAAATTATCCTTAAGTTTGGCTGCATCAAAAATGTATAATGAGTACAATATGTTCGTTGCAAACGTCATATTTGACAGAATTTTGATGACGTTTTGAGAATTTGACCAAAAATGCTCGACATGTTCGAGAATGCCGAAAACCCTGTCACATGTAGTGCTTGAAAACTCCACGCGTGATGTTTATTTTGCCGTTTATTTTGGAGATATCCCTGCTGAAAATTGTATTAAAATTGTTAACTCTGCGCATTAGATTTTCGTCATGAATCTTATTTTATGTCTCGGACGTCATTTTTTTTTAAACATCATTCAGTATGACCGATTTTCTTTCAAAAAACCTTGGTCCAAAGAGAAAAGCCCTGGAGCGTCGCCATTCCGTGGAGGGGCTCATAAATATCGAATGAAAAAGCGGGCACACTATCTTGGTTGATGTCAAAGGTTAAACAGGCCAAGATGCAGCGAAACGTTTCTCTAACGCCACCGTGAGATAATGATGGAAGCCGCAAAATCACCACGATCAGCATTTTGGACTGCAGTTTTTGGAAACGTACTTGAAGAAAATGTGATCAGTCCAGTTGTAAAATGATGATGGTTTGGGGGTGCTTTTTTGCATTCTTTTTTAAAGCTTGTGTTATACATCGATTTTGATTTTACTCGCTATTTTTGAAGTCGATTTTTTTTACACTAATGACAGAATCTAATAATGTTCGTGACTGCCGACTTCGGGACCCGATTGATTGTGGGAGATGTTTTTTTAATTTCATGATTATGGTTTTAATATGTGTAAATATTACCACCTTCACCACATATAAATCTGTGTAAAATAACCGCAGGGATTATCACTCCTCGGTACATTTTATTGGCTAGGATTTCATCAGGTTGAATTCACATCCGTCAAAAATGCTGACTTCAATTGGTTGTTCACATCCGTCAAAAATGCTGATGTTCCAGACTTTAATTAATTACATTGTAACTCCAATCAAGTCAAAAGATGGACACAGTCATCATTGTTCCAGATATCAGCCATGACCTCCCTCATTACATCTGACATTGGGAATTAATTCACTGCTGTTCTCCTCAGGAAAAATGAACCTCCTAAGTTGAACATCATCTAATGGTCCATATTTTGAGGAACCTGCCTTATTATCCCATATGCTGCCAAATTTATAATCAGCAGCCTATATTTTTACATGCGTATAGTGTACACAGTCAACTTCTGTGGAGTTTTGTCAATTTGTTCTTTCTGCATGTTTCAGCTTAACACTTTTGCTATTGTGGATTCTCTTATATCTAAGACTGGAACTGACGCGCACATAAATTAGTCTAGCAGAATAATTCGACAAGACGCCATTACTTCATTGACACTACACTCGCATCAGTGTGTTCTTAAACTTAAGAAAGTGTATTCGGCAAGTCACAGCACACAACTGGGCGTTGAAGCATTCAACGCACTGCCACCTGCATGCCAGTGTGATGTAAACAGACCAATAGCTATGTTTTGGTAATCCTGATCTTCCTGGATGAAAACTTAGTCTCTGTCAGGGCTTAGAGATAATACCACAGGTCCGCAGTTAGGATCTGCTTACCTGTTTTGCTGCTGAAACTTCCAGAGCTTTGTGTACACGTCGAAGGTCCTTCCAAAATATGACTGCCACTGTTTGTGTCCGTACTGTGGGAGATCTCTGGAGGAACAAAAGGTACATGGACAAACAGTGCAACTGACTTGTGGAATGGTAAAATTTATACTTGCAGTGTGAATGTAATTATAATAGGTGTACAGGAATGTACATTGTAATTTTTGAGGGAAGATATAGTACACTGGTCTACATGTACATGTATATTAGTATGTTAGTTTGGCTACCTTTGGACATGAAGTGGACAGCTTACATGTAAATACGTGCCGTAAATAAGTAACCTGACATCCAGAGACTACTACCAGGGGGAATCTTGCCACTACTAAACCATACATGAATGTTGACCATGTCACTATACATGTACATGTACACATGTACCTCAAGCATACCGGTACATGTACATGTACGTAATCAATGCCAAAAGTGCTCATTTTCTCGCTGCTCCGCTTTGCTACAAAAGCTGGTATTTTGAGCTGAGCATTCAGCATTTATCCTTAAATATGTTGATCACTTGTTCAAAAAGATGTACATACATGTATATGTGTGTACACGTTTATCATTCAGGTAAACGTACATCACTCTGATGGTTGTGCATAAGTTGCAACCTACAAGTACAAAGAAGCATGGACACACACATATTGTATAAAATTCCACGTGAAACAACATTGCAAGTACATACATGTACATTCGTGTGTGTATTCATCCGACTCAAACTCATTTGTACATGTACATGTAGGTCTGCATAACGAACATATATACTGTACATATATCTACATGTAATTGCACATTTCACATTCAGTGAAGTTACAAAATGTAATCAGCATTGCCAAAGTGATGCAGGATACATGTACATCAACCAATCTCGTTTATTTCTCCACAAACAATACGGCAAGTATCACAGATTTACAGCGATAAATGTGGTATAAAATTACTATAATGTGTAATAAAAGTGTTTTCTTCCCAATACATTCCAACTCCATGGCCTCAGGGCTTTTTTGTTTGGTTTGGGTTTGAGAGGGCTTTTGAAAAATCTTTTTCTTGTTTTTTAACGTGTGAGCTGTGATAGGATTTCTTTGCACAGTCACTGATTTTAAGCTGCGGTGGACAGCTTCCTGGCTCAGGGGGCGGGAAGCCACTCCGGCCTGAGTAGACGTACATGTACGGTAACTCAAGTCAAAAGAATGACGTCAAGGCTGAAAATCAACAGGGCAGAAACTTTAACAGCCTAGCCACAAGGCTGCAAATGGAGTCATGGATACACGGTACAGTGTATATTACATGTATCAGCCATCTGATCTGTGTGTCTACATTACACCCCCAAAAAAAATTTTACAGACTGAAACTGAGGTTAAGATGAAGAGACAAATGTGTGAAATGTTATTTCCAAAAATTTCTTCCAGCTCCTCAATCATTATTTTTCTTTAATTAGAGACAACCTACACCTCTTTCCAAAATAAGACTGGAGACAACCATTACAAAAAATATTACTAGGGCCTACTTTGGGGTTCATTGCCTTTAGCACCCTGTCCTTATTATAAGGGAACAAACTCTACTTTTTTCAAAACAATGTATCCAAACAAGTTGTTGGTGATGTCCTCTTTCATATCAGAAAGGAAGGAGAACAGTACTTTTGGTTTTTGAGGAACATTTTGGGGTAAAACGGCAGCGATGCATGACCGCCCCAAAGAGCTGTGAACGACAAATTAGCAAATGTAGTCTGGTTTCTTGACCTGGATGGAGATTTGTTTTGATGAATCCAAAATGCCTGAGTCGAGTAACCAGACGAAAAACAAAATGGCATGATTCCACTGAGTGGTTGTCTTTTGCCAAACTCGGGTTAGAAATTTGAAGTTTTCTTGCTTAAATATTGTCAACATTTACCTAAACTAGGCCTATCAGAATTGAGTAATGGTTCCTTTAGGTCAAAATGTTAGTTAGTTTGAGAAAGTACATGTAGACCTAGAACAAACTTGGGACAACCGACACCTCTGTTTTGTAAAAGTAGACTTTGTTTCCTTATTTCAGGAACAGGGTGCTAAAAGGTGACGAACATCCCAAGAATTACATACTTACTGTGGGTGTAAGCAATCAACCATGACTCCATCCATAGCATGATTCGTAAGTGGTCATGGTAGTGCTAGTGGGGTGTATGGACACGATTGACTTTTTGTGCACTTTTAAGTTTAAGCTGCAACTCAAGTAGAGCCTAGGGCAATAAACTGTTAATATGGGACAGCAAATGACCAATGACCATACACGATGACTCTGTGCTGTGTACTGTGACTATAAGCATAGAGCAAGGAACAGTCTATACTGTAAGCTACCTCGCAAACATGGCCATGACGGTAAACACTAGTGAAAGAGTAACATGACTAAACACACGATTCGTAGGCGATGTTGGAAGTCGCCGCACGCTACTGTCAACATGGTCAACTCACCTCAGCCCGTTGAAAAGCTGCTTGGACTTTTCCAGCAGATAGCTGAACTCCTGCACCACTTTCCTCTCCTCCTCCGAGGCCGGTTGGCCATCTGTAGCTGGAAAGGCCACCGGTTGCTCCACGCTATTTTCCATGGATTGCATGATTGCTAGTACTGATGTAAACTCGTCCGTCTTTGCAACATGTTTAGTCTTCCAAACTTCGTGCACAGAAAAATAAATCAAAGGGTCCCGTACGTTTGTTATCGTAGTTCACTGGTGCGCGCACACACGATCAACATAATGTTCTCTAGGTTTACCAGTGACTTTGAAGAAAAAGGAGGGCGATTGAGGGCAGCAGTCTGCGCGTCTGCGCGTCTGTGCACAGTCTGCATCTGCTACGCTGAGACCAACCAAGATTGTTTTTTCTCCTCAGGGTTTATGAACCACAGTGGGACATGGGAGGGCGCAAAATACTCAAAGGCTGCACAATTATTGTTCGGAAAAATCTCTGGTAGGAATTACAGCTGGGAAAAGTACACAAGCGATTTATTTCCTTCATAAATCAAAATTTTTTTAAATTGTAAGAGGTAATACTCGTGGTTTTCGGTGGTGGGTCAGTTCCGAGATGGTGGAGTTTCAATAATCCCAGGACGATTCTGCGACGCAACTGAACAAAACAGGTCGTATTAAAGTCACCCGTGCCGATTTTGCGCTTCTGAACAAAAAGCCTTTTAAATCTTGCAAAAAGGAAATAAAGAGGAACTCTCAACATTTTCACCCATGTCATTTCCATATTCATCAGGATACCAAGCTCAATGAAAGACCAAAACAAAGGCAGTTTGCTCTTTCCAGTGCAACCTAAAACTCATTGATTACTTTTATAAACAGCCTTGAAACACATGTTTTGTGATCCGGTCTTTCTTAAGCTATCAGCGTGTGTTTACAATATACTTTCTTTTAGAATAATTATTTCGGAAAACATTGCCTTACTGTTAAACTAATACTAAAATTACATTTTGCAAAGGGCACTGATCTTCCGAGCATAATTCCACTATTCAACCATCCTGCCCAGTTCACGCAAATGCAAGATCCAAAACTTAAGTTTCCAAATCGTGTGACGAAGTCGCTTCAAATCCCAGAAGTCGCAATGATCATAAGGAAAACTAAGCTGAGTGATGATCGAAATTTTTGCAAGATAATATGAGAAAAGTGTTATTTTCAATTACTTACATTAAATTTTAACAGAATAAACACACATACCCGTTTAAATTAACCACAAGGGAAGAACTATATAAAATCATTTGAATTATATGTGTCGGATATTTTGAGAGGGGGGCACTCAATGGGTGGGATTCTGGTCTTGAGTTTGCCGAGGATCGACTAGTTCCTGAACTTAGCACGCAAAAGTTTTAGTTCTAAAAATGGACGATCTTGAGTGGCGGCCTCCGACATGAAGATTGGGATATGGTGGTTGGCCGATGAACAGCAGTCGAGGGAACTCACAATCGATAATCGGACGGGGCTGAAGGGCGTGGCGCCGGCTGCGGCGGGAGCAGATACTTCTGATCCAAGCTGAGCCGAGAGAAAGAGCAGGTCGCCGGTGATAGAGCTCAGCATAACAAGGCAACACTGGCACAGCACGTCCAGTTAGCGGGCGCTTACGAAACCCGACGGTCAGAAAACCTATGAGAGTGCCTCGTCCACACCTCGGCAAACTAAAGGCCAGACTGAATTCGACGAGGGGTGAAATTTCCCTGCTTTTAGTCAAGAAAATTCCAATATTCATTCCATTTTTAAGGTTGACCTCAGCATGGGAACAACTTAACTATAGCCGTTCGTTTGACAAAAGTTGGGCAAAGTAGGGCCCGTAGCGATTGGCCTCCACTTATTTCGCATAACCTAGGGAACCCTCAAATTTATTTTACTTAAATTTCTTAAAGAATTTGTAACAATAGGGACCAGATTTATAATTACAAAAGTTTCTGATTAAAATCAAAATAAAAAGAAGCCAAAACTCCCGGAGATCAGGATTCGCTCCAAATCTCCCCCCCCCCTTTGTTTTTTGTTTTTTGTTTTAATTTTGGTTTTGTGGCGTGTATCAATTAGGTTCAGGGTAGATTTTTCGCTCTTTCCTCAATAAACTTCAAATTAGTGAGTCCACCAGGTCCCAAACCAAAGGAGTATTGTTCTCAACAAACGGAGTTATAATTTTTTTTTATCACATAGCGATGATGGAGCTTCACACGCAGCGTAGGATTTGTACCGACTGGTCATGGCGGCCACTGTTATTACGATGGCGCTGTTAATCAGAGCTGCTATCAGGAACCTGCACTTTTTGTTTATTTTAAAGTAATAAACGCAGTTATCTTTTTTTTTTTAAAAAGAAGTGTGCAGTGACAGATCCAGTCGGGAAGAAAAGTTAGTGTAATCTAGGACTTCATACAATGTACCTTCTTCATTTTGAAAGATTTTTTTTCAACTTAATATTTCAGATTGGGAGGGTGGAACACCAGAAAAAAACCTGTTGCCATGGTTAGCCAGATGGTCAACGGTGCCGTGGCATCTGCTGCACACTTACACCGTGTTGCATGCACGTTTTTGATTCGTTTAAAATATTTTGTTTCGCTTGCTTTGGTCGTCACCAAGTTCGCGTAATGCCACATAATATGAGGAAGATTCCAGAATTTGGGGCCGTCCAAATAAGAATTATTGAAAAGTGAAATGTTTTGGCTGTGTTTGCTTTAATTATTTATTCGCAATAAACCACTTCGTATGAATATTGTCTTGCTCTTGAGACCTTTATTTTTTATTACAGAGTTGCAATTATACGAGCGAGTCAAAGGTCACCACAATTCATCCATTCTTAGGTCAACTCATAAATTATTAAATGAACTTTGACGAAGGCAATATTCCTTTGTTCAGCTGTTTCAGTCCGGACTTGTGAACTGACTTGTGACTTTCTCAGTTCCGTCTTCTTTTATAAATCCATAAATTCCGTGTTATTTTTGCTTTGTTTTGATTACGAACAGGAGTTTGTTTGACAGTTTTTATAGGTCATAGATGTGACGCCCCCTAAATCGGCGAAGATCGTCCCATGAGCATGATGGGGGATTTTTTTTATTATTATGGAAATGATGTCCGCGGTCCTTAAAACTTTCATTTTCGGATCCCTGGAACTCCCACAATGCCCTCCCACGTTCAGTCGCTCAAGTACGCATGCGTAGATGAGTCACGATTTCACGGAGTCGACGTTCACATCCGCATTGTCATGAAAATGTGTTTGTTGTGACAGCGGCGATCTACCCTGAAACCGAGCACAAAACATGCAATTTTAGCGGACTTTCAGCTGGTTTCTGCACTGCATATGACTGCCAGGGTTTTCCTGAGATACGGTGGCCAGTGGTAGGATCACAGGGGCCCGTTTCTGTCGGGAAAATCGATTTTGTTTACGGGTTCGACAACAGGCCGGTCCGTTCGGAAGGTCAAAATGGCCAGTACTAGTAGCGGCAGCAATAGCGCAAGGCAGTCCACGGCAGCAAGACAGCGACGAAAGCGATCGCAGCCTGCGGTTTATAACTACAACGGGGTGCACAATTCCTACGAAGATAAAGACAACGATTTCCTGTGGTGAGTATATTCGGCTGTAGCTGAAATAATCGAGCACGTTTGCATGGGTTTGCTGCAGCCTGCGTCTGCTACTGCTAGTTAAGCGAGTTATTGGACATCGCGATGACTGTGTCGGCGTGTGTGGCATGGCACTGTCAACAGCACTGAGAACTGGGACCTGTCCTTGTGTGGCGTGGCCGCCCCGTGGCCGTGGCATGTTCGAGTGAGGGGGGGGGCGTATTCATCCTTTGTACTCGCTACCATGCTGTCTATTTTCGTTGGTTATTATTTTTTTCAGTGGCAATTGTTTCTTTGACTTTGTTGCTAACTGTTTTCCTGTTGTCATGGTTGTTAGTGATGAGCCTGTGACTGCTAATTCATTTGTACATACTGTGATTAAAAAAAAATCACAGCATGAATTCACAGTGTGAATGTTTGAATTGCCTAAAATTGCATAAAACTTGTATTTGGTAAATTGGAGTCCGGTGACGCGCTGTTTCTTCAGTGTTGTATATTAGAGGGGGAGCTGTTATGAATGGTAACATTGATGCCATTTATTTAATGGAAGGATTACATTCATGTCTGAAAAATTAAATCGTGCACAACATTGTTAATTGAGTGTTTTTCTCAGTATCATTTTCAATTGATTAACCCTCCTTTAGTTTTATAGCACAAATATGCACAAGTGCGAGGTCACTCTCTTGCATGTTGGTGCAGTGCACAACATGACACAGCTGTGCTTCTTTGAGGTGTTTACCAAGTGACCCAAAGAGTGACTTCAGCATAGGAGGGTTGATGTCAATTGTTATTCCTCATTTGAAACTTTCGCTCCTCGTTAAATCATACTGTCAAAGGTGGTCAGAGTTTGATCAACCCCCAGAACTGTGGGGTCCGAATTCTAACTTGGACCATAACACCAAGAAGTTTCCCCCAACAGTTGCAGCCTGTTTCCCCAGGGACTGAGCCCTTTTCCCTTGCTACCGGTATAGTCCCCCAAGTGCTCATTTTAAACTTGTTGACATTCATGAAACCCAGACATACACGTAGTTTTGGTCAGACAAGGAATCCTCCCCCTTGTCTTGCATCTGGCAACCACAGACCTGGTCGGCACAGCCAAAATAAATTTATTCCTTTTTTCCCGCTACTAAACTTTGTTAGAAAAAGATGGGCAAGTAGAACTTGTGTATACATTTATTTAAAATCGTCAGTTCTGTGGGTTATATTAAGTAAAGATATAAGAATCTCGTTTCACCACAGCAAGGATAGAGAGACAGAGTAAAGCCCTTTCCACATGGTGCAAAAAAAATCCAAGGCATAAGAAATTTTCTCATGCTTGAGAAATCTTACAAAAGTGTCATGTGGAAGGACACTAGAGCTTTAGAGAGACCAGCATTCCTGGTGAATCAATAGGCCCTTTCACACGAGAGCTGAAAATGGGTCCGTTGCGCTGAAATTGCATCGAGGTCACTATTGCCGAGATATAGTGCCGTGCGAAAGTGTATCCCTGTTACCAAATCGCAAGGGTCCCTGTGTGATCTTCACACAGATCCAGACGTCCTACAAACTTTCGCAGGGATACGAAATTCTTGCGATTGTCACTGAGATTGGTCATGTGAATGCAAACTTTGCAAAGCGTGCGATTTTCACAGGGATGGTGTGCACTGAAGTCCACTACACATGCACGCCTTTGCTTTTGCCATCATTCAAATTGGCCCCTAGTGACAGTGGCGTAGCTTGGATTTTATTAGTGGGAGGTACATGTACATGTACAAAGGGGCACCAGCATCCTATGGGGGGGTACCAGCTTTCAGTGGTGTGGTTCTTTGGGGAAGTTTTTGTTAGTCTTGTTCAATATCCATTCCTCCGTTTTTTTTTTCTGTGGAGGCACCTGGGGGGGGCACCAGGAATTTGTGGCTACGCCATTGCCTAGTGATAGTCTTGGGGCCATCTGGTTCCATGCACGCATTATTACAGATTTTTATATTCAAAGGGTGGGAACCAGATGTACGAGAAGTTCGGGCCTTTTGTCTGGAGCTTCAGATACCAGGATAAATTGCACTTCTCTTTGAAAAAATTCCTTCCCAGCCACTATTAAGAAAAATAGGTAAAAGAATATATTCTCTTCACAGCATTTCTGGGGATTGCAGTTGTTATTCTCTGTTTATAATCAGACACCAATGTTGTAAGGCACAATCCTGGCCCCTTACTAAAGGGGCTGCGACAAGGCCATTACTAAACTAGCTCTTAAAAATCATGCAGCTATATGTCTATTCCTGAGTCCGACAAATGGAAAATGCCCAGGATTACTCTTGAAAAAGAGATACAAAATCTACACGAGAGCCACTAGTACATGAAGGTGCAAAGCTAAAGCAGCCTCTGACAGGCAAATGATGTTTTGTCATCACTGAATTTGTACACAAATGTTTGTAGAAACATGCAAAAAAGCATTTGCGTATGTTATGGCTGGAAAATCACTGTTAGTCCATACTTCCATTATTCAAAGAATATCACGGTACCAGGTTGCAAACGTCAATGCTATAAAACGGACGTTTGCCAACGTGCTGCGTTGTACCGAATGAAAGCTTGCGATGAAGTTGCAGGTGACCCTTGTGACAGATACATGGTGTGAAACATCGCTGACATGTATTTCTAGCAGTTCGTGTGAAAGGGCATCTTTGAGATATTTTGGAGGAGGTCTGGACCTACAAAAAAAATTTCCACTAGCGGAAGATTCCTGGTGGTACCCCTGAGAAGTGATTGCGTGAGAGAAAAAACTGGTTATTGTACACCATTCTGTGCGACGGACTATACAGTGTGCATGTGTGGAGAGCCCAAAACAGAAACTGTGGGCCTTTTTGTTTTACACTGATCTGGATCTCCATCAGTGATCCCAACCCTGGTTCATCGCCATCCATCAGATGAATTTTGGTTTCTGTAAACCAGCTGATCATAATCCAGATCTGCATGAAACCAGAAGCACGGCCACATACGATGGCCTTTGTGACAACAGTGGGCACGTCCTTCAATTCCCAGCTACAGTAAATTTTTATCCTGCAGGCCGTACCATGCAATATGGCCAACAATGCCATGAGTCTGCTGCTATCCTCGCATCATTGTGTGAATTTTATGCAGCATCAGAGCTGAAGATGACAGGTGCAATCCCAACGGGAAATACGGCGTACAACATTGGGAAGACGTGCACTATCACCACTTTTAGCCGCACATATTTTTGTCATGTTCTTCTCTGGGTGCATTCCATGTAATCGGTAGTCTTCTACCGATACGTGCGAGCTCATGAATATTTTATGATCCTTCAAGTTATTTACAATAAGCGGAGCCATAATCAGAGCCAATCATAGAGATATTTCTATAAATCACGAATTCGGGACTTGTGGCTTCCAACTTGGGGTATTTTGCTCACAAACACCTCCAAACTTTAGGCCTGTTTTGCATAGAGGCGGGTGGCAATATTCAGAACTGAGTGCATAGTTTGACTACTAATTTAGGGGTGTTTTCAGAAAAGGGCGAACAAAAAGAGTGTCTCGCCCCAGTAAAATTGAAGAGAAAGCAGAACTTGTGGCCAAAATCTTGAATATCCAGTGAAAAAACGGGAGGTCAACCTCTTCCCGAGAGTCACCAAACAGCGATATTTCTGTCCGATTTTGAAATGTTTCCTGTGGGCTCATATTTAGTGTGCTGCAACCCTCTGGTAGTGGAGCGTTGGGGGAGCATCATACTGGTATTTGCAGTACTCGCATGCAGTAAATGTAGAGTCTACCGGCGACCCGCGGAGTAAGCATTTGCGTCTCATGGAATGCCAGCAAAATGTTGCGCTGTGTTTAATAATGTGCGAACAGATGCTAAAGGGGCCTCTGTATAATCACAAAGTAAACTATTCACGCTTCGAAATTTTGTCCCAAATTTTGGCATTGTGCGAAAAGGGCTTTAGACCCCTGTAGAATGACTGAAAAGAAGTCTTCACGTATTTATTGAAGAAACTAATCACACAACATTGAGTAGATATATCGTATCCCTTTGTGCACCCCCAATCGGCGAAAGAAAGACAGGTGGTTACAAGCGAGTTCTTGCACACGTTCTGTGTGTACGCAAAGACCATACATGCCGGAATAAATTTGTTAAGTGTACTCAGGGTCAAATGCGCATGTACTTGCGTGCCTCATGGCACGTCTATGCGGTGAACACCCAAAAAAGCACGCCCTCTTTTGTTCCGCTCGGAGGGAATAGGACCCTTAACTTTCAAGGGTCATCAGTTCCTATACTTTAAGCAGTCATGGAGATGCCTTAGTGCCCTTGGAAAGAGTTTCGTATCAGGCCACAATGATTTTCGAGTTTTGGAAATTCCTACAGTTGAGAAAAAATAACACGTAAAAACAGCTTTGCCTCAGATAATATCAGTTTTTCCAGCACCGAATGGATAATTCGTCTTCGATGGAAACACAGGGTAATGTGGGATTTGTTGTTCGTGGCGAGTGTATGGTGGCGACATGCAGAACTCTTCCCCTTCCCATACCGTCCTCCATCCATCAAAATTTGAAATGAATTGGAAATGTTCTGTTGACTGTTAAATCTAAATCTACCCATTTAGATGTATGCATAATAGTCAAGACTATACATTTGATGCACGACATGTGGCAAAGGGGACCCCCCCTCTATTGTGTCTTCTTTGGTGTGGACGGAATCTTTAGGATTCCTTTCAGATTTCTGAGGGGGGATGCAGTAGGCACAATAGCCTTAGGATGTATAGCTTGTGCACCATACATATGCAGCAAGGTATGAGACGGAGAGAACCCCCCCTGCTTTGTGTTGGTCATTGTCTCGCAGGAATCTGGGGAATTCCTTTCATACATCTTGGGGGAATATGTTAAGTAACAATAGTCTGGAATGTGCATAGGGATTGGACATGTTGGGAGGGTACTGGTCGGTCTCATTTCTTGCTGGGTATAGCACCATGTTAGGAGGGTCTCCCTTTGCCACATACCCTGCTGGATATGAGACTTTCT